TGTTATCACCAAAAATGTGAAAGTAAAGCAAGTTCATAATTAGATAGACATCGTGAGGTATTTATTTTCGGTACAGTTTATGTTGAAACCGTTTGAGAGAGTGGCACACTTATAGCCTGTTCCATTCTTCTTCGTTTTCCGAAGCCGTGGCTTGGAAGCATACTTGCTTCGTTTCCAGTGGCGTTTCTATATGTACAAAAGTGGTGGGGCACAAAAAACTTAGATGTCTATGCTTCTGCAGTGAGGTTCATGGCTGGTGAGGCACTGGCACTGACTCTTCAGGTTTACAAATATTATATTTTGACCTAAATCAAAATATAATATTATTTTCAAAAGCCTCTTTAGTCTGATGCTTCAATTAATTTTAAACAAACAGTTCAACAGAAGGATACCAAAAAAATGTAATTTTATCATTTAAATATTGAATTGTTCTCTCTTAGTAAGATCCCATTTTCAATAAAATTGTGGTCTTACCTTGACTTGAAGATGAAGTCCATTTGCCTATCCTTCTGGACAAAAATCTCTATTACTTTTTTGTAAAAGTCCTCCTTATCTTCTTGTAGTTTCAAAAGTCTATCATAAATCTAAATGGTGGATTTATGATTCGAAAATTATAAAAGTAGGGTAGACATGTGGATATTATCCGGCTGAACAAAACGTGCATTTATCTAACAGGTACGTTTCCCACAGATCTTATTTTGAGCTATTTTCTAAAATCCCATGGAGAAATCTCATTGCTTTTTTGTGGAGGGAAGCCATGCGCAGCTTACTTCCTGCTTTTAGGACACGTCTCTCTCCTCCTCTTCACCTGCTCTTCACACACCACACTTTTCGCGGCACACGTACCTACAGCCAATCAGCTCTGAATTATGTGAGATGACGTATGGTGGGGATGGCAGCTCTATGCCATTGCCATCGACTATGCCATCTATGTCATTATTTTTTGCCACACACATTAAATAGGAAAATACTCTGAGCATGCGCAGTGTAGTTTTTACAGTCACCGCTACCCCGCTGCAGTGGAAACGCGCCATTGACTTCTTTCTACAGGTGGACATGTGCAAATTGCGCCACGATGCCTTCTGAACGGAGAATGTGCTGCATGGAGATACCACAGGTAACATTTTTGATAGCTTCACTAATGGCGCGTTTCCACTGCAGCGGGTAGCCCCGTTTAAGCGTCCTTAACCGTCCTCAAGCGGCCAGGCCGGTTTTTGGTGGCGTTTCCATATAGCCTAGTACCGGCCAGCGGGTACTTTTTCCCTCTTTTTCCGGCCTCATAAAATCGTGGTTCCCTCAGACCAGGGCCAGGGCTGAACTAGTGACGTCAACACTCTCGACTGCTGATTGGTCAGAGAGAATCGTCACAAGATTGCGTGCGAGTTCATCCCTAGCGTCGCATATATATCTAGCTCCCGCTGGATTTGATCATCCCCAATGAGATGAAGGAACGTCGTCACCTCCTCGGTCGACCACGGTGTGCTTTTCTTATTAGACGTAGCCATTTTTGTAGCTCATCCGTTTACAAAATGCTGTTTATAAAAATGCTGCAAGCTTGCTTCTAAATATATATGCGACGCTAGGGATGAACTCGCGCGCGATCTTGTGACGATTCTCTCTGACCAATCAGCAGTCGAGAGTGTTGACGTCACTAGTTCAGCCCTGGCCCTGGTCTGGGACAACCACGATTTTATGAGGCCGGAAAAAGAGGGAAAAAGTACCCGCTGGCCGGTACTAGGCTATATGGAAACGCCACCAAAAACCGGCCTGGCCGCTTGAGGACGGTTAAGGACGCTTAAACGGGGCTACCCGCTGCAGTGGAAACGCGCCATTAGACAGTGAGAAGGAGGGGCAGGATCGGGTTTTGTCCCACATGGCTCTAAACAGCTCAATAGGCACACACTGTAGACACTAATTAGAAGAACACATACTAAAACAGCAATGTACAGACGAATCAGATGATTAAACATGATCTTAAAATATATTTTATATATATTTTAATTAATTTTTTGCATTTTGTTGTAATCATTATTTTAATACTTTCTGCTGACACTAATGACCAGTCGCCACTGTTCGTTTCGGAAGGAAGTGACTTGGAAGTACGCGACTACCAAGCCAGCATCCTCGAGATTGAGAAACACCCCGTGTGTCACACGCCAGATGCGTGGGAGTTGGCAACCCTGGGGTAATCACGGGACGAGAAACAGCTGGGCCGGGAGGTAGAAGCACAAGGGCAACAGGTGAACACACAGGAGGAAACACACAGGAAGGAAGACAAGAGACAGGGAGAACATAATTACAAAATAACACCCATAACAAGACAGACAAAACTAAAAATGTGACATAACATTAGGATCGTGACAGGAGGTTTACAAATCCTACCTGCAATGGGGGACATCCTTGCCTCTTTGCGATGGTTTGACTACAAAACTTCGAGTTGTCAATGCATTGTTTGTCAATCCATAACAGAAAATCAAATGGAGTACAGGCCTAACGCATACAACTGAGAAATAGAAGTAGTCTCCGGTTAGATTTGTCAATGTTCACATCCAACACAAAATCCTGTCGGACATTTTTGTTCTTACCAAAGTTGACTATATTCACTGTTGCGCACCACAGCAGCGTCATATCTCCTTAGTAACCCCTCTGAAAGACTGCAACAACAAAACAACTGTGGCAAAGGCGCCTGACTTTAAAGATACACGCTGCAATCAATGAATGTGTTTAGGCTGCAGGTCACTTATAGCCTATGTGTGACCTTTTCTCTAAATCGGTTGTTTCGTTTTTTATGCGCTCATATGGTTTTGGCCTGCTGGGCTCCGCAGCAGATGCTGCAGGTTCCCGCTGCTCCCGCGGTGTCTGCCGCCGCAGAAACCAGTTATCACGTATTGATTCCCAGCTCGACCCTCAGTGCCGCCTCGTAAGATCCCAGAGCAGTACGTCTCGCGCAGGGGATCTGACAAAGCGTCACTGCAGGATGAGCACGAGGAAGATAAGGCCTTAGCTCTGCTCCGCACTTTGAGAAGCTTAATTGGGATTCCACTGGACACAGCCACTTTTTCACTTAGTCTGCACCACCATGACCAGAAATAACAAGAGCTACTAATCTGTCCTTATCTGACTTATTATATTAGCCTACTTTTGAGATACGTTATACAAACGTCTTTCAAAGCGTTAAGATGCATTTGAATACATGTAGGGGCTTAATGCATTGACAATAACTAGTATTTCTCGATTAATATTACTTTAGAAAGTCTTGTTTTTGGCTCTTTTAATAGATATAAAATGAAACCCACTGCCTGTTATTTACCTAAGTGTAACATCGTCCTATTGCTTCACTGATATTCACCTGTTTCTATACTTTGTGTCTCCCCTCCAGGGTTACGGCACCCATGACAACACACACACACACACACACACACACACACACACACACACACACACACACACACACACACACACACACACACACACACACACACACACACACACACACACACACACACACACACACACACACACACACACACACACACACACACACTGCCTTCCCAAGGGCCGATTTATGCAAGGTAATACAGTGTCCCAACTGAGAATAAATTAATTTAAAAATCGTTTTAGATTCAAACCTCCGCAGCATCAGTGAAATATTTCGTATACGAGGATTCAAAGGACGAGGTTGTCTTTTACAAGTGTTGCTCCTTATCTAAAACATGTGTTTATTAAGACGAAAACGACACATGAAAGGGTAACATTAGGCCTATAGGTTTATATATAACTATGTATCTTGTTTAATAGACAATACAAACGGATTATACAATTTAAAGATTTTTAAAGGAATGAACATTTGCTTATTTTGTTTCCAAATAGGCCCTATGTTTGAAAAGAAAACATTGAAATGGGGACAGTATTTTACACTTAGTGTATCGAGCATAATGTCTTCTCTATATATTTTTTGTGGCCTACATTTTTTTGTCATCATTTAAAGAGCAGATCTTTATCGTTAGACCTATACTGTCACGAGAACAGGCACGCCTAACAGACTATTAACCAAACCTCGATCAGCTTAAAAATCACACCAACAAAACAACCAGAATGGTGTTAAACTCAAACATTCTTAAATATGAGCGCTAGAACCTTCTAAAAGCATCTAGCACTTTCTTGTCAACAAACTTGTTTTAAAAATAATAATATAGGTTAAAGCCTATATATTTTTTATTTGTCAGATTTTGCGAAAAAAATACGGACAAAAGGATAATAAACAAAAACAACAACCCAGAGCAACAGTTATATCTAAACCACATACAGTAGGCGATTAAAAAATAATTAAACATACCTGATGGTTAAAATTACTCCAATCCAAAAACCCAAGATGTATGTTGCGCCGAGCACCTGTCTGTTTATCTTCAAACATGCCAAGAGAGTGACCCTCCATAAACAAACAGCAACAACAAAACACTGAAATATCGACCGACTTTACAGTATGATAACAGCAATTGGAGATGATTGACTTTTAGGAGAAACAGAATTAACTGCGATGACACTAGAGGAAAACTGATTTGCATGCTGTTCAGGGAAGTGTGAGGTTTGCTGAGGGAGAACAAGGAGGAGGTGAAGCGTTTTTTGAGCTGGGAGAAGAAGAGAGGCGGTAGCGCGCACATAAGCGGGAAACCTTTTCAGCTGGATAATGTGAAAAGGTACTACATTGCCCAGTACACATAGCCTACTAAAATACAGATGCGTGAGATACAACATTACCATCTTACTATAATATTATTAATGATGACATCATAAAATATAATGATATTAGAAAATGTAGTCTATTCAAATGTACCAAATATTTTCACCGATACAAAATGGAAGATATATAAATTGTTGCAAACAATTTGCCACAAGTGTACTACATGCACAGCACGCAGAAAAAGAAAAGAAAAAAGAACACTCGTGAACTACAGTTCCCAGAAGGCAATACACTGCAGACGCATGCTGATTGGACAGCAACTGCATGTCGTCATCGTCCCACACAAACAAACTAGTAGCAACAGCAACAGTTGAATCAATAGCCTGTGCCCCGAAGTAAATCATGCGAAGAAAAAAACGTTTTTAATCTGCTTTTGGGACTTTTCGCGGCTCTCATATGATATACAAAAGGAGGGAAATTGCCATTAGCGGTAAGTGTGCCATTGAGGGTGAAATAATGAAGGTTAGTTACCTGCAAAGTTGCTAGTAGCGATGCTAACGTCAGTGAATGGTGGAGTGACAACTAAGAGCTAACTAGTAAGCTAGTGTTAGTCTCTCTATTTTGTGCCGTAGACATTATTTAAAAGATATCGATAGCTAAACTATCAAATGGCAATGAAGACGCGAAATAGACTTGGTTTATGTGTTGCCCTTAGTTTGCCTTAGCTACTACTTTTATTGTGAGCCAGCTAGCTTCTTCGATAACTACCTGTGGCTGATTTCTCCCTGCAGTGTTTGTATGTTGAAACTTACTTACTTCAGTTTTCTGTCTTTTATGCAGTGCTTTCCCTTTTTATAATGCATGTTCTTGCATAAGAGAACAAAACAAAACGTAATGTGTTTGTAAGCTCTCTGTGTGTTTGAAGCGTGTTTATTAATTAGTCTTGTGGCGCCATCACGTGTTAACTGTAAGGAATTACACCAGGTGACTCGAGCAGTAAGTCAAACCAGTGATGACCGTTTTTGTGAAGTTAAATGTTAGGAAACTCATTTAGGCGTTTATCTCATGATAATGTGTTCTCTTTTTTCATTTTCAACAGCCGTGATTGTAAGATGAATTTCTCTGAGGTTTTCAAGCAGTCCAACCAACTGTGTAAAGTTTCCCCAGATGGGAAATATTTGGTAAGTGGTTTAGTTAAAGTTATATTTGCACAATTCTAGTTTTTAAGTATGTTTGCTGCGTTGAAGTAGGTTATACAACTTTAAACTGTAATTCCCCTGATTAATTTCCCAATTTGGGATGAATAAAGTATCTATGTATCTCTATTTATCTGTCTGTCGATCGATCTATCACTAGATAGATCTATCTATATTGCTAGCTACAGGGATACAACTGAAGTGTGTTTCAAGTCTTCTCTCCCATGTGTCTCTTTGGCTGTACCTGCTAGGCTACCTGTGTGCAGTACAGGCTGGTGGTGCGAGATGTGGAGACCCTGCAGATCCTGCAGCTCTACACCTGCCTGGACCAGATTTCACACATGGACTGGTCTTCTGACTCTCTCTTTATCCTCTGTGCTATGTACAAGAGGGGACTGGTACAGGTGATGTGAATATGTGATTCAACATGGTGTGGGAATGCTTTTAGTTATGTACTCAAGGTAGAAGACCTTACTCAGCTGGGTTGATTTTGTGTAATCTTGCCCTCCTTTATACAATATCTTTATACAAATTGGTCTGGCATTATGAAAGGATCTCTTTGGTCTCCAATAGCTTGTGCTAATCATTTGCTGTGACACTTTGGATCAAACTATAAACTAAGAATTCTAATGAGTGCTTGACATATGAATTGGCAACTAAAATGGTTTGTTTGGACCTTAAACAATTATGTGTAGTAATGCCCAAGCAAATCTTTCTAACCATTTTTGGATCCTTCAAAATGTTTTAAAAGACTTTAGGCAGGCATATTCAAATGTCTTGTCATATACATATAAAGCAACATTTTATAGACAAAGAAGATGAATTATGGAAAAGTTAAGTTTGATATATTATGTACTGCATTGAACTACTAGGGATAATGCCAATCATGTATTACATCCTGAGTTTATATAGTCAAACTGAGTACTGTTTAAAAATAAGGTATGAAAAGATGTACAATTTGACTTATGAAGTTGGTTTAACAGTGATTCTTATAATTGTTTTTTCTTTTCCTTGATACAAACAAATATGTAGATTGATAAACCATACTGTTTATGTCTTTTGTATCTTTACTCTCACGTATACCAGGCCCCTTTATCTTTTTGAAGACTCAAAAATATGTTCATATTTATTTTAAGTTGCACCCTTATTGGCAGAAAGAACTTAACATAATTAAGGTTTGTTTCTTTTGAAAAGTTGCAGTAGATAAGAAGAAGCTTTGCATGCTACAGTAATGCCAGTTTAATGTGCATCACAGGGAGAGTAACTCACCTTTGAAGGGGTGTCCATCGCCAGTCTTTCATGGTGACTGAATCTCAAGTATTTCTTATTGTTTGAAATCAAGTTGAGTGAACTGCAGGATGTGTGAAGGATGTCATCAGTGATGGCTGATGGCTGTCCTTCTGTCACTCTCTGTCTTTCTCTTCAGGTGTGGTCGCTGGAACAGCCAGACTGGCACTGTAAGATTGATGAAGGCTCAATAGGACTAGTCTCCTCGCGCTGGAGTCCAGATGGACGTCACATTCTCAACACCACTGAGTTCCATGTAAGTGTGAAGTTGGTGCGTGCATGGGTGCGGGCATTCATGCCCACGGAAGTGTGTTTTATATGCTTGTCTGGTTTCAACTGTTGCTGGCTCGCAAGGAAGGGGGACCTGAAAATAGCCAGACACCAGAGCTTGTCTTGACCGCCCCTACACCCCCCACCTGCCGCATGTATTCAGCCTGATTTCATAGTTCCCCTCCTGTTAGCGTCCTGTCATACACAGGTCTCAAGTACCTCTGGAACATGGGTGCAATGTGTATGAGCCCTTCCAATGTATGTCTGGTATTTCCGTTGGCAGCAAATCCATTTGATGATGTACTAAGTTCAGGAACAATAGGAAATAACACAAACAACACAAAACGGCAGTGATGTAAACGGATGAAAGCATGCAGTCATAAAACAAGTTAGTTACAGTTTTGAAAAATGTGTACTTCAATTAATACAAGCCTTCGCTGTTGAATTAATATAAGGGTAACATTGGGTTATGCAGTGGCACATCTGAAGATGAACTTGACCTGAACTGTCCTCATGTCAGTGTCAATTACTTAATTACAGCAGGCCTGGTTCACAATGTTTAAGGCTGATGCCTATGTTATAGAGTTTATAACAATCAGGTATTCCATACTGCAATCTATGTCAACCAATAACTCTGTCATATGCAAATATCAGCCAGTACAGAGGCATCGGCATGGATAGAAATATTTGGGGTTAGGTGCTTCTTAACTGTATCATTTGAGAATTTCGAAAACCGCTTCAATAAAAACAGATACAGATACATATGACATGAATATATTTGAGTTTTGCAAAGTAAAAATGATTGTAGTCAAAGAGCCAGACTGTAACCTTGAGGAACACCAGCTTCAAGAAAAAGATGAGTTTGGCAGTAATGCATGATGCATTTCAAGTTTCATTCTCCAGTTTTGATTTCCATAATAATACAGGGCATTACTGGGATAAATAATTTCATACCACATCTAATGGTGAATAAAGTACAACAAGCGTACACATGGAAACATTTAATGGAATTACTTTGTTTGTTTTTTATTTTATGTAAATAACATTTCAATTCACTTCATAGTAAGCATGTGTTGTTAGGGGTGACAAGCTATAGCAGCTACCCTCGGGTAATTTGTAATATGATTGGGGCACCATGGAGGGCTGTGTCAGTCATGCTGAACCTGACTCCAGGAATCATTTGACAGGTGTAGTGGCTAAACACACAACTGTGTCTGGTCTGGAGAAGGGTGCAGGGGGTGCAAGTGTCTGTGGCATGTCTGCTTTGTGTCTGTCTGCATCTTTAACAACAACAAAAGAGGGTATGGGATAAGCATAGCACTGTGTCTTATGTATTTTGCAGAGATCTTTGAGCACATAAAACATTATATTCGTATGTTAATTGTATGGTTTGTCAATCCCTGACATGCAATATTGTGAACATGTTACCCATTCTTCATTCTTGTCATGGCAACATGTTTTATAAATCCTTAATTGGTATTGTTTAATGTTGACTAGCTTGTCATGGTAACGCATGACAACACTTCCTCTCTCCTGAGCTGCAATGTGCATTGCCCTCTGCCCTTATTACTCGACCAAATGTTAGCAAGAAGTTAAGTACTGTAGTTACTAAGCATCCTTTGGTAATTGAGGTTAAAAGACTAATTCAATAGAGTTGGCTCAGGATGCCACATTTTGAAGGGGCCCACTGAACTTACCTTCACCTCAGCCCAACATTTCATTAAGGCTGTGCCAGACGGGTGTTCGTGTCAGGTTTGAATTTCAGCCTCACTCATAAACAGCCTGCTATATTAACTTGTTTAGGGACAGCTGCTTGTGGTGTGGATCGTGCCACTGTGTGTGTGTTTGTCTGTCTATGTGTCAGTAAATCTGCTTGGCTAGCTGTGTTGTAGCTGTTACAATATCTGTTTTCTTTTTAAATCCATATGTACTATGTTTAGATCTTTCTGATTTGCAGGAACACATTTTATCAGTACAGGAATGACAAAGCATAGTGTCTCTCTAGCTGCTAGAGAGACACTAGAGTCTAGCACTAACATGGATCACAATGGCAGCCTTAGACATACTACAGCTAAGCACTTATTTTCCAGTGAGTTAGAAATACTCTTGATCTTTCAAGCTTCAAGTAGAACTATGTTTTTGGAGGCAGACGTGTTAAAAAGCACCAGTTGTTTTTAAATATGGGATGGCGCCATGTCACAGATTTAATAGATCAATAGTCTCATTGCTGAAATCTAGCCTAGGTATTGTGAGACTTCACGCAATGTGTCTCCTAGTTGAATTCCCATCGTTTATCTTAGGGGCTCACAAAATGCCACTCACACATCCATGTTAATCCACCTTTACCAGCTGAGGGGTGATAAACTGCGAGTGGAAAAACACCAGCCAAGGACATCATTAAACTTCTCTAATGGTTTTTACATTGTAGGGATCAGATTAGCGTTAGCATTCTTGGCAAGTACAGCTTGAGCCTTGCTAACGTGTTGCATTGTTGGCAACTGCGCTACTGGACTAAACTGCAAACGTGTGCATCTGCAACGCGGGACAATAGCTCTGCCATACCTATGTGTGGGCTGCCAGGGGCTCCAGTTCCTTGGCAGAATCATGAGGCTATAACAGGAGAAATAGGCTATATTGGTTGAGATGGCTTCCTATGTGGAATGCCTGAAGTCTAATCCTCTGTTGACAGATAGGCCTATGGCATCAAATGCATTCGCTCATTCTCTAGCACTCGAAGAAGAGCACAACAAGAATGGCTGACAGAAAGGTTTTTTCCAGTTTGCTGTCACTTACTCTGGTCTACAATGTATCATTGCCCACAGCCTGTCCTGTTGGAAAAGGTTCCCTAATGATGTGCTTATCTTGTGACGTATACCTGCTAATAGATTCAAAGTGGATGTGATGGTAGATATTAGCTGCAATTTTTCTATTTGGCAGTGCCTTAAGAAGATTGTCTCATAACACATCAAGGGAAGATTATTTGTGCAGCTCGTAATAAGAGTTACAGCCACAAACAACTTTGCTACGACCTTATATATATGTATATATATATATATATATATATAAATAATAAGGTCTTATATATATTTAGTCAATTTATTGAACATGTTAAAAAAAAAAAATAATAATAATATTAAAGAGAAGCTAAATAAAAAAACAAGGTATACAAATTAAAAATAAATGATCCAATAGGTTCCATCATGTTCAAAAGGGGCAAAAAGAAGCTTACAACTTTTCTGGTCCAACCCCCTCTAGCATACATTGTTCATGAAAATAAAAGTTCAGGTCATCAGCATCCGTGGTATTTGATTCATTGTTTTAAACAAATAATTCCTTTGTACAAAAAAACCAAATAATCTTTACAGGTAAACCAAAACCGTCAACGACAAGAAATAACAAGCATGAGGATCAGGATTTGGTTTCTAAATAATTGTTTTAGTTTAGATAAAGTTGCACGGTATTTCCGTTCATCATTACAGTTATTCCACCGATTAACACCTTTTCTTGTGATGCAATGAAGTTTGGAATTTGTTGGTATGGGTGGTTTTTTGAAAATGCAGTTTCCTCTCAATTGTTGATTTGCGGCTTTGAGCATAATGTGGATAGTTTTATAGTCATATATATTTATAAACAGTATATGCTCCTCATTTCCCTTTCTTTATCTTTTATGTTCAAAAACCTTCACAACCACATAATTTGGTCGAATGTGAGAAGACCTCGGACATGCAGTGATCGAAGCCATACTAAAATGTACTTGTCTGAAACGACTGATCAGCAGTTTCAGTTATGCTAACCCCGGCACAGACGTACATTTTTCCAGCAGCTGTTGTATTGGAGTTTTGCCTTTCCATGCCACGCTCTTCCTTACCCCCATCCCTAAGCTGCAGCTCACCTTGGTGAAGATACTCCATCTTAAGTGTAACTTTACCAGCTAAGGATCTTGTTGCATACCACCCCACATGGAAAAGCATTTCCCACCTATTTTCTTCATGCTACCTCCCTCCACCCAGTTTAAAGTAACACTGCCTTTTCGGTCTCCCGGCACCCCCACTGTGCTGGGTTCATGGCATCTTAGAAGTGCAAGTCTGTTTGTGTTTGAGTGATGTTGACATTGGTTGCCATGGCACCATGTCTGAGGGGATGTCCAGGAATCGTGCAGTGAGGTGTTATTACAGATACCACACAGCTGGACGTCCTGACCAAACAGGAGGGTCGACACTTCAGCCCAGTTGGGTGACAGACTGGACCCAGTTCAAATGTCTGTCTGGACACTATGATGAAAGCCTCGCCACTTCAGTGGTTTTAGCTCTGAACATTCCCAAATGCAAAATAAAGCATTAAGGGTATTCCCAATAATTTATTATAGTTATTCTTTATATGTGTGTGCATGGTTATCTCCAGAATATCTAACTGTGATTGTGCTGAGAATTTCAAAAATGGTATATTGTTCTGTTACAAGCTTGAATTGCGAAAGAATACACAGTACCTAATGGCATCGTATAGTGTGTGTGTGATCGAGTGCCAACATTTGTTTTAAAAATATTGAATCACATTTTCATCTTCACTTTTCGTTTAACCCCTAGTTTGTCATTTCTGTCCCTGTAAAGCCATGCGTTTAGTTTTCTTTGCTAGTGCACATGCGCGTAGTTTGGATCAACATTTTAATATCTCAAACATCCAAAGCATGATCAGACAGCGCTTAATGTACCCACGTTATATTTACTTACTGTAGGCTCTAAGGCAGGGGTGTCAAACTCAAGGCCCGGGGGCCAAATCCGGCCCTCGACTTCATTTGATGTGTCCCGCAAGAGCTCTGAAAGTATATAATATGTTTATTATACGGTTGAATGCCGCTTTACAGAAGCACGTTGTCCATAAACTAGAAACTACATGTCCCACAATGCATCTCATTTTGTGACGTGCACACTGAAGAGACTTGCAATTATTAGCCCTAGACATCTGCTTTTCAGACGTAGTTAATTTTGAAGTTATTACCCGATCTGATAATAATCCAATGCAGAGGAAATTATGTAATATAATACATTATTTTATATATATGATATATTTATATATAGTCTTAAAGTTTTGCACTGGCTTTTAATACTAGTTGAACATAATATTTTTATATTTGTATGTGTTTTATATGTTTCTAGTTATTGTGCTTTTTATCTTGTTTTTAATGATTGCTTTATTATTTGACTCCTATTGTGTTCCCTGTACAGCACTTTGGTCAACTGAGGTTGTTTTTAAATGTGTAATATAAATAAATAAAGATTGAGATTGAAAGTTACAACCGGCCCTTTGAGTGCAACCATAATACTAATGTGGATGAACTTGAGTTTGACACCCCTGCTCTAAGGGAAAGCGTGAGTGCCATGCATCTAGCACCCTTAATGTTGCAGTGTTGTGCTTACATGGCCTTCATATTTGGATTATTTGTTATGACTAGGTTGTGTTTAACAATTGGACAAAACAAATCTTTGTTTTGTAGCATCAGGAGGAAACACTTCACTATTAAACTCTACAGGTATGTCAAACTACAAAATTGTCACACCGAAGTGTAAATGAAGAAAATGAATGCGGCTGTCTACTCTTCCTGTGTATGTAAATGTGAAACAATTATGGACTGGCACTCTTCTGTTTCTGTTGACACTGTGGGACTGCAGCTTTCTCTGTGAACACCTTAACACCAAGGCAGCTGTACACTGACCACAGTTTCTCTAGCAGTGTCTCAAAGGCTGTCATGTGCTCCTTGTTTCTGAAGGGCAAGATACCAGGCATCATACCGGTCCTTGAGTTAAAATATGCTGTACTTTTGGCTGAGTGCCAACAGCTTGTGTTGGCATCAATCCGATTGAAGGGAGACTGGTGGGTATTTGAGTGACTGCTTTCAAAACGGAGCATTAACACATGTTGCCTCTTTGTTATGCCGACTTGTAGCCAAATAGTTATTCTTTGGCACTGCTTTCATTGGAGGGAATGTACACAACCTGCTGGATATGCAACTAGTTGTTAATTTGTCACACTTGTCTAACATTACATCAATGGACTGGTCGTTATTTCCCGCTAATGTCAAGATGTTGTTTTGGATCTGTTAGTTTGATGAGTGCTATAGTCCTAATTTAAAAGGGGGCCCGGATAGTATCCTTCAATTCCTCAGTGACTGTAAACCTTTATCATATGGGTTCTCTACAGGGCCATCCATCCATCTGGTTGGGTTCCATGTCAGTGTCTCATTGCCCTCACAGAGAGGTACCGTAGACCTCTTCAAAGACACAAGGCCCTCTGTTCTGTTCACAGCTGTTGATGGGCCGTGCTGGCCTGAGCTGTAGTCTGTTCCCAGGTGATAGACATGTCTTTGAGTGTAGAGGGGAACTCAGAGGCCTCATTATGCTAGTGGCCTGGTTGATTGAGGTCGCTGTTGATGCCCAGTCCCCTTCCAGAACACTTTTTAGATCTGTTTTTATTAAGATCGTCTTACCAAACACTAATGGTGGAGGTCTCTAGGGTTTTTTTCTCAATGTGGCTTGTAAAGCCTCTATTTGCTTCAAAATCCCATCCCTAAACCAAGATGTTTACTTGCATGTTAAGCGTAAAACCCGTTTTATCAGAATTGTTATTTTAATTTATCACTGTTTAAGTTGACTGGAAAGTAACAAGAAATGAAAGGTAAACATCCCAAACACATGTTTGTATAATGCCAGTTTGTTTCTAAATATCCTCAGATTATCCACTAGAGAGCAGTGGAATGTGATTTTTAAACTTGACAATTGTCCCACTTATTGTGCACTAATTTTTCACAATTTTTGAATAACCACAGTTTAAAGGATCCATGTTGTTTGATGTTTATGTGTGTATATTACAATGCTAATATAAGCTTATATATTGTTATTGGGACTTTTCTAAACTCTCAATCATCAATGTATATATCATTTCACTTGTCAATGTATTTACACTCTTTGTGCCGCTGGTCAGCATGTTGTGTTTGTCATACTTTCACTTGCGAAGTAATCCACAGTGCTTTTTCCTCTGGTGCCTTGACAGCTGAGAGTCACCGTCTGGTCCCTCTGCACCAAAGCTGTGTCTTACATCAAGTATCCCAAAGCATGCCAGAAGGGTCAGTATGAGAATGATATTGTTAAATTTATTTTCTCATGGCTTATGAGTGTATATTCATTACCAGGAGTACCTGAGGGCAAGGCCAGTGCTCAGAGTGTCTCAGCATGCCCCATGAATCACGTGCCGTCCTTTACCTCGTGGCGCGACCCTGGATAGGAGGCCACATTCTGGTCCTCTCTGCTGACAGCTGTGCTCCTCCTCAGTAAATGGGGCATGCTCTTCATAACAGGCCTGTCAGCAGCTTGAGGAATAATGATTGTCCGTGACTCTCCCCGTTTTTCTGCATGCAAGTCCCTCTGCAACCCATGTATCCCCTAACCCTCATCTAAATGATACGAGCACCATGGTAATGTTCTATCGACCTGATGATGTCAGAGTGTCTCATTTATAACATTGACTAAAAATAAACATGGAGCTATGAGGTTACCTTTTCAGTTATCAGAGTAGATAACTGGCTTTCAAGTCAATAGACAGTTTTATTATTGCTTTATTCATATTTGTATTGTGTCATTGTTCCTTGCTGCTGCTGTTTCTTAACCTCTGAGTGTTGAATAAAGTCAGCACAGATAAAATGTTAAAACCGGAATGATTGTTTTCTACGTCCGTTATAGAACTGTACTTGACTAGCTTGTACAGAGTGAAACTTAACTACGTTTCTTTCTAGGTTGATTTCTAATTGGTGTGTGTTTTCAACATTCTGTGTTTTTCAGTTAAACTTGTCAGTTGTGGTGACATTGGAAGATCTTATTATACTTGTGTTTTTACAACTGGTTTAATGCAGCGTTCTCCCATCATCTTTGACCCTAAGGTATTGATTTCAGCAGAGATGGCTGCTACATGGCCTTGGCTGAACGCCGTGACTGCAAAGACTTCGTCAGCGTATTCGTGTGTGACGACTGGCATTTACTCAGGGTAAGCAGCACATTCAAATTGTATATTTTATGACCAGGATTATACATTTGAAATTTGAGTAATCTAAGTGAGCATCAGTAAAATAAATCTAAATGTAGGTGACTTGAAAGACATGCAGTATCCTCCTGTGACTGTATATTACTTTGTAAAGCATCTCAAAAATGATTTTTGGAGCTGTATTTGAATGGCTTTGTTTGCCCAACGTACACAAGAGGCTGATCTTAAACATCATAGATATTAAAGTAAACTCTGCATATTAATTATTTCAAATTTGATGTGGTACATGCAGTTTTGTCTGTAAATGTGTGTGTAAATGAATTTGATATACCTTGACTCTGTCACAGCATTTTGAGACTGAGACTCAGGACCTGGCAGGGTTGGAGTGGTCTCCCAATGGCTGTGTGCTGGCAGTGTGGGATAGCTGTCTGGAGGTGAGCTGTTTGCTTTAAACACCTAAGATTTCACAAGAGAATATATCAGATTAACTTCCCTGCTCTATATTTTGAGCATGTACTTAATGTTTCACATAAAGAATCTGAAGCAGCTGGCTGAAAACAGTCCATTGAGAGTCGAAACCGCGGAAAAAACATACAAACATGTACACACTCAAGGCCCTCCATTAAAAGTAGACTTTCCAGGCCTTCTTATTACGTTTCACATTATAAGTGTCTATAATCATAGATACTAAAATAGGGTGAGAAGTTGCTGATGAGAAAATTCCCACTAGAGCAGGAGACATGAGAAACTATAAAGTAAGTAAAACATAATCTGTATAAAGAGAATGGTTTGATGAAATACGTCATGATACAAGACTCCCTACATCTCCTGCATACAGCATACAGAGGGAACCTATTGATTAAGCTGACCTTGGTTGAAGATGTTCTGCAATTGAGTACTTGTAGCAACAGAAAATTACTTTTGACATATTTTAAAATCCTATCAAAAGGTTACAAGAACTGTAATATAAGTGTATGTTTTTTATTTTGTAAGGAATCATATTATAGGGCTCTTTATTGTCAAAGTCTATTGGGGCAGGTGGGGAGATACATTGAAAGTAATATTGTGTATTTTCCTCTCCACAGTACAAGGTGTTGCTGTATTCTCTGGACGGCCGGTTGCTGTCAACCTACAGTGCCTATGAGTGGTCTCTGGGGGTCAAGTCAGTGACCTGGAGCCCCAGCAGCCAGTTCCTGGCCATCGGCAGCTATGATGAGAAGGTATGGACACTCTTGATGGATGATAACATTGAGAAATCAAACTATTGCTTGACACAATATAACTACGATTTATTTCGTAAAAATAATGATACAAGCTTTAAGTAACAATCAAAAAGGTCTTGGTTTCCTTCTCTTCTGCAGCATCTCTACTGATAAGCGGGATTTTGGATCTCCCTTATTGGAGATCGCTGCTTGTGATATTTCCTTAAGGCTGCGATAGTGACTAAACAGACATTTGTTGTACATTGAATTCTTCAAGATCATTATAAAAACGATACTTTATTACCCTCATGTCAGGTGCGCATCCTCAATCATATCACGTGGAAGAAAATCACACAGTTTGAGCATCCAGCAACCATCAACAACACAAAGGCAGTGAGTATTTTTCCATCCGTCCTGATGAGCCTTGCAGGCCTTGCAGTTTAGTTATTAACTGTTTGTTGTGTTTTAAGGTTGTATATAAGGAAGTGGTGAAAAGGCCCGCTGTTTGTAGTGATGACCTATCGCTACACAACATCACAATTGGCAACACCCTCTTCAACACACAGAGCAAATGTATGTCAGTTTTTGGATACAAAAACATTCTATCGGCAGTATTTGAATAAAACTACTGAGTTCAGTTAGCCGACTTTGTTTAATCACAAACTCTCATTTGTTTTGGTCTCCACTCCAGATGAGATCTGCCCAACGCCAGTCCAGCTTCCTGTAGTTAAACCAGACCCAGACCGAGCCAACCCTAAGATTGGCATCTCCACTTTGGCATTCAGCTCCGACAGTCGCTATCTAGCCACCAAAAACGGTAAGACTTTTCACTCTTATTTTTTACCATCTTTTTATTATATGTAAAGTAGAATGGCACTCTGAGAGCTACACTCGCCTATAGTGCATTCTCATCCTTTCTGAGTTGGGAAGTCGTTCTTCACAAACACCCTGGCAGTTTTACTTTTGAGTTACATTTCTTTTTTTATTTCTTTATGATATGTCGAAATCTGAATAGTGAAGTGAAACATAATTTGTGTATCTGCTTTGTAATGTATTGGGTTATTCATTGGCCCATGCTAACACCTTTCTTTAACCCTGTTGTTAGCTAAAACAAGCTCCTTGCCGTAGGTTGTTACAGTTTTAATTTTTTTGATTGTAAACATCGACTTTAGTGTTCATTTATTTGTGATGCAATATTAGTGATTCTTTGCTCTATAAACTGAGAGTGGCTTTGAGTTTGTATCTGTGTTTCTCTGACCGTAGACAACATGGCCAGTGTTGTCTGGGTGTGGGATGTGCAGAAGATGAGCCTGGTGGCGGTGCTCGAGCAGACAACGGCCGTGCGCTGCTTTCAGTGGGACCCCCGACGCCCCCGGCTGGCCCTCTGTACGGGCAACACCAAACTCTACCTCTGGTCCCCAGCAGGCTGCGTTTCTGTCCAAGTCCCCACTGAAGGTGAAGTCCTCAAAGAGATCAAAATGTCCAGCAGCTTCAATACAAAGCTTATGATGTTCTCAAATATAGAATAAGCCGGTTACATAAAAAGTCTCCTCCTAATGTCCTGGAACTCATGTTATGTGACATTGGTTTGATCCAAGTGAAATATGTGATGTCTGAATTCAAAAGGCAAAGCTAAACAAATATTTGGTATTTCACTTGAACTCTGAAAGGTGGGTGTGTTTGACTTAGAAAGTATAGAAACAAACTAAATTATCCGTTTTAAACCCTAAAAGTTTATTGATTCCGTCTTGTGCAATGACAGTAACAAGTTCCATGTGTTTTCTAACGATGCAGTACAATTTTCACCTTTATTTTGTGGATTTGTAGTCATCACAATTGCCCCTCTCTATCCTGCCAGGTGGTTTCCAGGTCCAGTCATTGAACTGGCACTGCAGCGGAGACTCTCTGATCCTGCTAGGGAAGGAGCAGCTGTGTTTGTGCTACATGGACAATGACCAGGAGGACAAGTAAAACTCACAAATACACAGGTTTCAAGAATAACTGGATTTCAGTTCCGTAGCCTTTGCTGGGAATGTGCTACGGTGATGACAAAAAGACTTGAGGGTAACACTCCCCCTCCTTCTTGCACATATCGTGCTATAGATTCTTGCCAAGTTTTAAGGGCCCTCACTGCAGGTTACTGGAATACTCCTTTTCTTGTCAAGTTAAACATGTATGGAAAACCTGCTCTGACATTCCTCCTGAGAGACATAGAATCAACAAATATCACTTTTTGAATGACCAAATGCATACAGAAGCACTAGTTCCAAACACTGTGAGAAGATAGTGGTTTACATAGTTTTATAGATTTCACTGTACATTTAGTTGTAAGTATTTTGTATTAGTTCTACTTTGAAATTGTTTAATTATTTTGAATAAATGTTGTCATAAATAATGCAGCTTACGGTCAGTTACTAAAATGTGTGGATCAAAATCTTTCGACCGTTTATTAAATCAGTGTTCTCTGCCCAGGCACTACTAAACATACAGATGGCGACCATTTTACCTGACTTTAAGAATCACCTGTCTGATGTTTTATTATGAAGCTTGAATGTTGAGCCATTTTTTACTTGGTTAACGTGCAGGTATTTATCTGTCTCTATTTTCAAAGCTGACTTTTCATTCTTGTGCTACAAATATTTAAAACAAAAAGTAAGCCTTCACATTTTTGTCATAATCTCTTAATGAAATACTTCAGAATTGGCAATGAAATATTTATTTTTCTAGAGGCATCCATGAGTTGACTACATCAAAATAACAACAGATAAATAAAACTAAATTAGTATTTACAAAGCCATGTAGAATATTCCTTTAAAAAAACATCTTTCATGCACACCCAACGTGCAGGGAACATGCACGGGTAAAGACCGGAAAAGGCATTTTGGGACACAATTATTCACTAACATTGTTGAACATGAAAATATGGCCTGTAACCTTTGGTAGCACAACAATGTATTTTAGGTGAGTACAGGAAACAATCCTGTTATCCTATTCATAAGATACAAACAGCATGTTGTTAATGAACCAATGTTTTGTGTGCATGCATTTTACTTTGTAACCCAACCATTATTCCACCGCACAGTTCAGTGCCACTTAGTGCAAATGTGCCTTAAACCATTGCAAGATCTTTAAGTTAAATTACAAACAAACCAACATAAAGACACTGGTTTCAAATTCAAGTTGCATAAAATATCTATAACATACAAGAACATTTTAGCTGTGTTAGCTAATGCAGCTCTACAAGTAGTAGATGAGTACCTGCTCTGAGCAAAGTCATAATTAGGCGGATGTAAGCATAGAGAGCACAACATTGGCAAATAAGAGAGAAAGGTCAATGCAATATAAGTATTATCTCAAGTCTCATGGACTCTGAGGAGTGTATTACAACTGTTATCTTCCATACTCAACCCAGAGCTTTTATTTATAGCAGTGTAGATTCTGAAACAGTTTCCCTTTAGTACCATTTATTAAATAATTAAACTTTAGCCATCGTTTGCTTTCCTATTCTGTAAAGCTACCCAATGTCCCTGTGATCTGAATAATGCAATCCTTGTTGTTTAGAAGCGAGCCCAAACAAACAACATCCTTAATCAAGAAATAATTCTCTTTTGTTTGCATTTCTCTACCACAATCTCAATTTTTGACAGTCTCTCAATTAGTGGTTAGACGAGGAGTAAAATACTAAAGTAAGCTGAAGAATTAATGCAAGAGCTATGTCCTTCTCACAAATGTTTGCCACACGGACTGTGGGGGGCTAAAAACACAAACAAACAAAGACAGTCCATGCAGTGTTGCACATAATTTACCTACAGTAGGCTGACCTCTTGTCTGCAACACCAACTTGAGGGAGGTGTGGACTTACACAGTACACACAGAGATTGCGTATTACACTGTAGTAAAGCTTCCATCACACAGGGAAGTGTAACCAGACACAGGGGCTGAACTCGGTTGTAATTTGGAGAAACGGTGACTTTTAGAAGCCGATCTTGCCCCTGGTTATGGAGTAGCCCAACTTTGCCTCGTTATTGATGAAGGACATAATTCCCAAATAGGTCTCGATGAGTAAGGGTTTCTCCAGGATCAGGACACCGTTAGCCCGACCTGGGATGGGGTGCTCCTTGTGGGCTTTCTTCACTGCCTGCACCAGCTGGGTCCGGAAGTTGTCCAACTTGGCAAGAAAGAGCAAAAGATCATGAAACCTCAACAAACTCCCAGTGCGTAATTCGTTTTTAATGGACATAGTATGAAATTTACATCTACAGTGGGGCAAAAAAGTATTTAGTCAGCCACCAATTGTGCAAGTTCTCCCACTTAAAAAGATGAGAGGCCTGTAATTTTCATCCTAGGTATACCTCAACTATGAGAGACAAAATGAGAAAAAAAAAAATCCAGACAATCACATTGTCTGATTTTTAAAGAATTTATTTGCAAATTATGGTGGAAAATAAGTATTTGGTCAATAACAAAAGTTAATCTCAATACTTTGTTACATACCCTTTGTTGGCAATGACAGAGGTCAAACGTTTTCTGTAAGTCTTCACAAGGTTTTCACACACTGTTGCTGGTATTTTGGTCCATTCCTCCATGCAGATCTCTTCTAGAGCAGTGATGTTTTGGGGCTGTCGCTGGGCAACACAGACTTTCAACTCCATCCAAAGATTTTCTATGGGGTTGAGATCTGGAGACTGGCTAGGCCACTCCAGGACCTTGAAATGCTTCTTACGAAGCCACTCCTTCGTTGCCCGGGCGGTGTGTTTGGGATCATTGTCATGCTGAAAGACCCAGCCACGTTTCATCTTCAATGCCCTTGCTGATGGAAGGAGGTTGTCACTCAAAATCTCACGATACATGGCCCCATTCATTCTTTCCTTTACACGGATCAGTCGTCCTGGTCCCTTTGCAGAAAAACAGCCCCAAAGTATGATGTTTCCACCCCCATGTTTCACAGTAGGTATGGTGTTCTTTGGATGCAACTCAGCATTCTTTCTCCTCCAAACACGTCTAGTTGAGATTTTACCAAAAAGTTCTATTTTGGTTATATCTCTCACAGGCTCCGCCCTCTACTGGACTCTATGGGTACTACCTTACCCTGCGAGCATTCTCCCACTGAGACTTCTATAGACGTAGCCGGCCTTGGGCGGGCCTACCTGAATGCGCGCGCATCACACCGTATAAAAGGAGGCCTCACCTCCTGACTATCATCCTTTTCTCTTCAGCGGCGGAAGTGTTTTCACGGAGCTTAAAAAGACGAGAGAATAGAGAGTTATGGAGTCAGTTCTTGACCACAGGACCTGTCCGAAATGTCCTAACCTGATCGCGGGAGCGGATCCACACCCCTTCTGCTTCCTATGTATGGGGCCTGACCACGCCGTGAGCTGTATGGGCCCGACACCGGCATGCTCAGCCTGCCAGATGCTTCCTCGGCTCACACGTGAGCATCGTGGGCAGCATTTCCTGTCGGCGGAGGCCCCGCAGGAGGAGGTGGAGGATTCGGAGCTCGACGTCGTCGAGATGGGCGAGTCAGGAGAGGAGGAAGTGCCGTTCCGGTTCTCCCTTCCGTGGGGCCAGTCAACCCCGATTCCGGAGGAGGAGGACGAGGACGCCTCGGTGTCTGGAGGTCCGACTCTCAGGTCTGCGCGGAGGGATTTCCCAGCGGTGATGACCCTGGCGGCGGAGCGTGTAGGCCGACAGCTCCCCCCACCGCTGCCACCGAGGCCTATAAGCCGCCTGAGACAGGGGTATTACGGCCCGGTGCATCCAGCGCAGCCGACCTTCGTTTCGCCCCAGCTGCCTGATATATGGTGGTGTGTGGAGGCGACATGGCAGCAGCCATTTAAAACGAAGGCCCCAGTAGCCGCTATGGCAGGCATCATCAAGGTGGAGGGCCGCGCGGACACAGCGTGTTCGGGTGTGCCCCCCCCTTGATGAGAGCCTGGCGGCCCATCTGCTTCCGGGGGCGGCTGGTTGGGCGGAGGGTAAGCGACCCCTGCCCCGGGACCGAGACATACTGGAATATCTGGACAAGATGTGCAAGCTCGGTACGCAGATGGCGGCTGCAGCAAACAATCTCGGCGTGTTGGGCGTCTCCCTGATCACCCCTCAGGCAGTCGCCCCCGCCCTCCTCTCTCAAGAGGGGAGCGATTATTCGGACCGCGCTATAGGTCAGATGAACAATCTGATTCATGGCGTGGCCGCTGCAGCAGGGCGGGTGATTTCCTTGGCCACAGTGGCGTGTCGTCACGTGTGGTTGGGACTCACTGCCCTATCTAAGAAGGACCGAGAAGATCTCCTCGGAGCCCCCGTGTCTACGGAGGGGCTCTTTGGGTCAATCTCCTCGGTCACCCAGCGCTTCAGCCGCCTGGAGGAGGAAAGGGTCCAGCTTAGCTGGATGCTACCGCTGGCCCCTCCTCCGGCCCCGCTACGTGCTCCTCCATGCATTTCCATGCAGGCGAGGGAGCGCAGCGCGACAATGAAGCGGAGGGAGAGGCGCCGGCACGGGGGTCCCGTTGCTGCGGCGCCCTCCACCTCTACGGCCCATCCCGTGGTGCCGACATATCGGCAGCCACGGGGACGGGCTGCCCGACCTCGGCAGGCTCCTCAGCAGCAGAGAGCGGCCGGGTGGGGTGCGCCGTCTGCCCGGAGCTGACTGGCGGGGGGAGGTAGCGTCTCGGCGGGGGGAGAACAACTCTTCGCCCAGGACGCAAGGGTGAATCCCGCCTCCTCCCTATTTAATGCACAGATTCCGAGAAAAACTTTCAAAAATAAAGAAAGGGTTAATCTGTATCCAAGTCTAAGTGTCCTTTGTTTCCACAATGCTACACTTACACATGATGTCTGTACAAATTCCCCACTCGCCGCCCCAGTCATAACTCCTGTAAGAGAGGAGGCTAGTGGGAGTGCGCAGATGAGAGTGATAAAACGCAAGCAAAACTATTGTAGTGCTATACGTGTACAGGGGCATTATGGCCGGCGTATTGCTGTTAGGGAACACACTAAGCCTGGGGCTAAGACTCCAATTAATGCAATTTACCAGAGTGGTAAGAGTTGCATTATGGCAGCGCCCGCACTCACAGAGGAGCGCGTGGCGGTGCGTTCAGGGGCCTTAGTAGAAAGCACCACTCCTATAGGGACTCCAATTAATGAGGTCCACCGTAAAAGTGAGAACAGCATTATAAGGGAGCGCGCGCTCACACATGAACGTGCGGCGGTGCGTTCAAGGTCCTCAGTAAATAATCGGCCGTTTCTGTGTCGACCCTCCATGGGCAAATCTTCCCTTCACGGGGAGTTTTGCGGCGGGACGGGTCGCCAGAGAGTACCACCGCTTTATAGCTGCGGCTCCACAGCTGAGGGCATGCCCTTTAACACAGTGTTATGGGGAATGGAAACTAAGCTGTGTACT